CTCCCTGCTCCTTGGGAGCCTGCTTCTCCCTCTGCCTCTCTCTCTCTCTGTCTCTCATGAATAAATAAATAAAATCTTTAAAAAAAAAAAAAAACTCAGTAAAAAAAACCCAATCTTAAAATGGGCAAAGGATGTGACATTTCTCAAAGAAGATACACAAATTGTCAACAAGCAAATGAAAAGATTCTCAACATCATTAGCCACCAGAGAAAAACAAATCAAAACCATAATGAAATATACCATTTCATATCCATTAGAATGGGTATTATCAAAAGATAACAATAACTATGTTCGTGATAATGTGGAGAAACTAGAACCCTGATACTGTTGGTGACAATGTAAAATGGTGCAGTTTTGGAAAACAGTCTGGCAGTTCCTAAAAAAAGTTTAGATACGACAAACAGACTGATGAATCACAGACCTGTACCCCTGAAACAAATAATACATTGCATATTAATTTTTTAAAAATGCCAATTGAAAGAAAAAAAAAGATATGACACAGCAATCCACGCATAGCCATATGCCCAAGAAAAATGAAAACACAGGACCACAGAAAAGTCTGTACACAGAATTATACAGAATTATTCAGTCAATAAGTGAAAACCCAAATGTCCATCATGAATAAACAAAATGTGGTCCATCCTTCAATGGAATACTACTCAGTAATAAAGAAATGAAGTTCAGATAGATGCTATTATGTAGACTAACCTTGAAAACGTTGTCCTGAGTGAGCCACACACAAAGGACCACATGCTTGTGTGATTCCATTTATATGAAATGTACTAGGATTGACAAAGGCTTAGACAGAAAGTGGATTCCAGGGTTAGGGGGGCATGGAAAGAATGCACAGACACTCACTGATTTCACTCTGTGCACACACACTCGTTTCTCCCTCCCAAGAGAAAAATGAAGGACAAGAGGACTGGCCCCAACTTCAGCTGCCTGGTACTATAGGTGTTGTTCCCAGCCACTCAGCACCACTAGGAAAAACTCCAGTGCTCTTAGTTGTATTGCAATGTAGTGTGACTTGTAAGAGTTTTGCTAACGAGGTGATGTGTTTACAGATCCTTGTGGAGAACAGAGGGACAGTGGGAAACATAAAGGCACCTGTCCTTCCTTGTGTCTTCAGTAACCATTTGCATGGACTGTGTTTCTTAGAGGGTAACAAGATTTGTTTTCTGTGATTTAATATTTGTCACCTAAAATGTGGAAAATGGAATTGATTTTACTCGCCATCTTGACACAACAATCAGAAGGACAAAGACTAATCGAGACTAGCTGAGCAGGAACGCAAACCCAACACAGCCTGCATGCTATGGAATTCTGCCCCCTTGGCAGCCAGCCCACGTCCATGTTTCAGGCACCTGCGACGCTTGCCACCTGCTGGCCTACCTGTCCCACCCTTTACACTTAATGACCCAGGTGCCAGGTGACAAAGCAGAAAGACAAGTCATTGCCACTGGCAAATCTATACATGAAGAAAACGGATTCTGAAATACTTACCTTTACTTCAGATAGACTCAGACTTGCTATCAGGATATGTTCAACTGTGCTTTGTATAACACAAAGTAGACCGAGAGAAATAAAAAACACATTCTTAGAACTACCAAAATTAAGAGTATGACGCCCTTTGGCATCAGCATTCCTAACCTTTGGCAGAAGTCTATCAGCACGTCGACGAGAACCGTGCACGCTGTCTGCAGCTGCCCATCGCAGCCCCCTGCAGCAGAGGGCTTGGGGAGGAAGTGCTCATGGATCGCCCACTGGTGGAAGTCCCACCTGCAACAGCAAATACCAAGGTCTGTGCTCAGAAAGGCTGCAAACCCGTGCCTCCTGTGGCCGAAAAGCGAGCCCACAGCCAGGGGCACAACAGCAGGGGGTTAAATCTGAGGGGTTGGGGACAGGAACGCCCTCTGCCACAATCAAGACCCCCTCAGGGGCCATCATCCCAGCGTCTACCAGCGAAGGTGTCCAGATCTGGACCAGGCTCTGCAGGTGCTCACAGGAAAGGTCTTGAGGATGTACCAAGTGAAAGCCTCAGCCAGAGAACCACTGACACTAGTCTATTTCTACAGAAAGAGCCAAACCCAAGTAAGATGCTTCCACATACCCACGAATGGGCAAGGAACGGGTGAAAAAGGGCTGGTGCTTTACCCATACCATCTGAAGCCGGGACAGAATGTATTGCAGTGTTACTTGTAGAATTAAGAAAGAAAAGGTCTAAGCACAGCTTCAACATCCTGTGATCTGGGTGTAAGAAATCCTTATTACAGTTCCTCACACTAGAAAATGAATTCCTTCTTTTCCTAGTGGAAATAGAGGAGGAGGAGGAGGGAAGGGAGGGGAGACCCTAGGACACGCAAACCCATGCAGAAAGCACTCACAGGTGGCTGGGCACAGCCCTGAGGAGCAAGCAAACCTCTATCTTGTTGGAAAAGCAGTTATTCTTTCCACAGTTCCAACTTTCTTATTTCTACTTGCTCCTTCTATTACCTGACGCCATGAGACAGCATCCCACGCGCATGAGACACATCTCTGACCACGCAGGGATAGTGGCTCAGGGTGGCTCACGCTGATCCCTGCCCTCGGATGCCCCCGGGGCCCCTGTGCCCTACCAGCTCCATTTTATCTACAGCACATTTCCCTCCCTGACCTCTGCACCCCCACACCCAGGGTGCAGAGGTCAGCACCCCACTCTCATGCCCAGAACAGCACATCTCACCTCCCCCTGGTCTGAAGAGTTGGCCCTGGGACCCACAGGAGCTCAGACCTTGATTTACCTGCTCCTCATGCCACCAACTCAGGGCCAGCATGCCTGCAGCACCCACCAGCCCTCTGCTTGCCATTGCGTTCTTCCCACGCGCAGGACCGACGCAGGCTGGCCGCCCCAGCTGGGAACCGTCTCAGGCTCCTTCAGCAGGACCCCGGATGGTCAGGACTCCACGGCAGCCCCTTACCACACCCGGCCTTCCCTGCCCCTCTCCCACCCAGGAGAAGCACACTTGCTGCCCCTGCCTTCCCCACCCTGGGACCCGTTCTCACAGCCCTGTCCGGGGTCCTGATCCGTCGTAGCTGTCCGCCAGCTTCTCCCCAGGCCCACTGAGGCGTAACACGTGTGTGCACTTGCTTGGCAACAGTGCCCAGTCAGCGGCATCAGGGCGGAAGGGCACCGCCTAGTGCCCCTGTCTGCACAGAGGTGCCATAAGGGCAGGCTTGTCTAACCACAATGCACCCCCCCTTTCAAGAACATTCTAGAAGGGGCGCCTGGGTGGCTCAGATGGTTAAGCATCTGCCTTCAGCTCAGGTCATGATCCCAGGGTTCTGGGATCGAGCCCCGCATCGGGCTCCTGGCTCAGCGAGGAGCCTGCTTCTCCCTCTCCCTCTGCCTCTCCCTGCTCATGCTTTCTCTCTCTCTCTCTATCTCTGTGTCTCAAATGAATAAATAAAATCTTAAAAAAAAAAATTCTAGAAGTGCTTGGCAAACAGGAGGAACTCAATAAATGTTTCTTGAATTAAGGAATGAATGCATGAAACTGTGCTCATAGGTTATATGTTAAACTGAACACTGAGGATATAATGAGAAGACTTAGACTTCAAGACTGATGCAGAAAACCTGACAGCATTTTGAAAGGCAGACCCCCCCCCCCTTTAAGATTTTACTTATTTGAGAGAGTGCATGTGCAGTGGGGGGGGTGGGGTGCGGGGAGAAGGATCAGAGGGAGAAGCCGACTCCCCACTGAGCACGGAGCCTGACACGGCTCGGTCCCAGGACCCTGAGATCGTGACCTGAGCCAAAATCAAGAGTCCGATGCGCCCCAAGGCAGAACCCTTTCAACACTTACCTCTCCGTATGTGAAAGAGAATCAAGCTCAGGTTGAATTTCTAGTTCCAGCTGTAACCAGTCTCTGTAAGTTAACTGAGAGAAAAGGACGACATGAACAGACAGTGCGGACGGGACACAGAGACCACAAGTCAGCTCGGAAACAGTCTGCTGTCACCGCTCCGCGACTGCGGACGTCACGGCTGGAAGCCTCACAGGAGGGCAGCTGGGCCTACGCTGGCCTCTATGCTCACGCCGCTTCCCGCCGTCAGACTGAGGTCCTGGCACCAAGCCCTGACGGGGAACTCAGATATTGCTTAATCTAACTCGGAACGTGAAGCTCACCAAAACCGTTCAGACTGGTACTCTGAAATTGAATTCTCTAGCACACTGCCTGGTTTTGAACAGTTGACCTGTGGCCTCTGCAAACCGCTCAGGTTACTGCACAACAACACCGGGAAAGAAATCGTTTTCTAGTTCGGTGGAGTTGGGCAAGGTAACGGAAGAATAAACTCGATGTAATAACATGCTTCAAATACTCATGGTAGCATATTTCTTATTTTACAATTCTTGGAACAGTTTCACTCATCAACACGGACTAACCTCAAACCTCACACTGTGTGTAAGAGCACATCCCAAACACGTGTGCAGCGCGCTCCCTGTCTGTAGACACCAAAGCCTGGCAATACAGAGCAGTCCCTTGCTCGGGGACAAACGCATGGGAATCCAAGAGCAGCACGTCCACGATCACCCGAACGCCGAGGGCGGCGGCCCGCTGAGACCCCCGCCAAGCTGCGTGTGGGCGGCGAGCGTTCCCTACAGCACCTGCATCACTTACTATGCTCAGCAAACACGGTCACACCTGCTCTGGGGTAACTGATACAATTAATGAAAGAACTGAATATATAATAAAACAACTGACAATTTTTTCTCTAAGGACCAAAATAAGCAGACCAACATCCAGGTGAGTAAACGAAAAGTTATGAAAAGGTAGCAGACTAGTAACACAGGCATGTTGGGTGAAGCAGGCCAAGGCTCCCCGGGACTATGCTCAGAGAAGTGCGACCCCAAATTGCAGCCTGGCAGGTATGTTCCAGATACATTTATATTCACCCTTAAAACGTTAGTGCTCGGGAAACTGGGCAGAGTAGACATGATCTTTCTGTCTTAAGAAATTACAAGTACGTGTGACTCTGCAGTGGGACCAGCAACGACTTCCACCCAAGCCACTTCTGCGCTGCTCCAGCGTCAGGCCCGCCTGCCTGCCCACCACGTCCTCAGGAAACCCCACAGCTACCCGCAAAACCCTGTGCATTAGGACGAGGCGAGAAGCAGGAAAAGGGGCAGTGGGACCTACGTGAAATTCTTTCTGCTTCAACAGTTCCTGGAAGGTTCTCTGTTTCCACAGACACAGGGCGGCTCGCTGCCAGTCGGCAGTCGGCAGGCACAGGAGTCTCCAGGGAAGGCTGGCTGGGTCCTCCTGAGAGGGGGGTTCCCGGGCTTCTGAGAACAGTCTGAGTGTAACGAACTGGAACTGGAGAGAGACGGTAAACTGGCTGTGTGCTGCAGGGCAGGGCAGCGTGGAGACCCTGTGGACAGCTGGAGTGACCCGGCGAACCCCTCATGGGGCACTCTGGGCGCCCTGCGTTCAGCTACCGACGGCATCCCAGTGACCAGCCCAGTCTGCCAATCTTGGTGCACATCTGTCTCCCGGGACGCAACCCCCAAAGGCAGAACTGCTGGCTCTAAATGGTCCCCCACCACGGCGGCCAGCGGTCTTCCCAGCCCGTTGCTGGCACTGGTCTTCCCACTCTAGGAGGGTGCCAACTGGATAAGCACAAGAATGTCCATGAGTTCATGTACGTTTGCCATCAGGAGCTGCTCGGGGGGACCAGGGGAGGGCACTGGGACCCCCCTCAGAATTTGGCAAGGTGGGACCGGAAACTTGTCTGGGCTGCCTCTCCTAATCTCTGTTCCATGCTTCAAACTGTGGGCACCTGGGACTAAGCTCCTCAACACCAATGACGGGAGCACACGGGTGTCCCGACGGCGCTTAACCCCCAGGCAGGACCAGGGCTTCTCAGTGGATTCTAATGTGGAGCCTAGAACTCAGATCTGCGGTTCAACCTCACAAGATGTTCCTTAAAACTCCACCAAAGGAATAACACTGGTTTCCATTCTCACTCCAAGTTCACTTTTGCCACCGAAGGTTTCTGACACACATCTTTAAATTTCTCTGGTCTTGGGGCGCCTGGGTGGCTCAGTCAGTTAAGCATCCAACTCTTTTTTTTTTTTTTTTAAAGATTTTATTTATTTATTTGATGGAGAGAGAGACACAGCGAGAGAGGGAACACAAGCAGGGGGAGTGGGAGAGGGAGAAGCGGCTTCCCGCGGAGCAGGGAGCCCAATGCGGGGCTCGATCCCAGGACCCTGGGATCATGACCTGAGCCTAAGGCAGACACTTAACAACTGAGCCACCCAGGCGCCCCAAGCATCCAACTCTTGATTTTGACTCAGGTCATGATCTCAGGGTCGTGAGATCAAGCCCCACATCGGGCCCCGCGCTCAGTTCAGAGTCGGCTTGAGGTTCTCTCTCTCCCTCTGCCCCTCCCCCAACTCTTGCTCGCTCTCTCTCTCTCTCTCTCTCTCTCTAAAATAAATAAGATCTTTAAATTTCTCTGGTCCTGTAAATAAATACAACATTCAATAGATGAGATAAGTCTTCTGAGAACATCAGAATTCTTTTTTAAATAGAAAGATACTTTTCATGAATATTTATCTTTTAATATACCAACTTTACAAAAATCAGTATCTGTTTCTTTATTAAAAAAAGGAGGAACATTTGTAGCCTCTGTCATCTTGCAGCCCCCCTTCATCTTAAGTCTGAGAACAGAAGAAAAAGTCTGATACACCGGAAGCACAGTGTACAGAGATGTGGGCAGGGAGAGAGCAGACAACTGGACCTTCGCTAGAAACCTGCATGAAACTGGAGATTCACAGAATGGAGAAAGGGAAGTGACACACCTACCTTTTTCATGAGGACTGGAGATAAGCAGCTGTACAAAATATCTTGCGACAGGGAAGAAGACTTACACAAAAAGTAAGAAATCACCGCTGTACAAAATCTGAAAGCAGAAAACAGAATGTAGAAATGTGATGCATGCAACATACGGGATGAAATAAATATAAGTGTGAATTTCACAAAAGGGATCTGACTGCATTCTAAACCAGATGTCCAGAGGGTTAGTCTTGGCCTCAGCTCTGGGCCAGGCCGGCTCCCGAGCCCTCGGGACCCGACTCCCGTGTCACACCCATGGGTCTGAGCTCCGTCCACAATGAAGGCCCAGACCCAGAAAACCCCGCAACAGTCAAACTGTGCGAGTATGGGCTTGCTCTCGCCGCACGTAGAGTCACGGCCAGAACAAAAGCAATCAAGTCAGATGTGGCTGGGAGTGCTTCTGAAGTACCATCACCCGTTCACTGCTCCTTCCTGAAAGAAGTCTGCGGAACCAGGCACAAGCAGGCCCAATTTTAAACTCAGCCTTAGGGGAGGCCCTTGCCCGGGTTGTCAAGTGTCGAAGAGACCGACCCCAGGGCCCAGGGGAAGTCAGGAAGGTGCCAGGGAAGGAAGGGGGACCAGGGCACCTTCAGGGCTGACTGCCAGTGGGGGCTCTCGGTGTTGCCAAAAGCCTGTAAGAGGCTGGACGGCTCTGCCTCCCACTGTGGAGGGCTCAGGGGTCCAAGGCAGGCATTCTAGTGCAAGTCTCTCCGCGCTCTAATTCCTTATGCCTTTCCGTCAGTTCTGTCCATGAACCTCAATCCCAGTCCCAGCAAACAACCCACTGGAGCCTCCTGGCTTCCTCCCTGACCCTCCGTCCATTCACCCCGGGACCGAGTAAGTCTAGCCTCCCAGGGCCCCGCCCTCAGCACGTAGGGACCCATCCCTGCCCTCCCTGGGGTGGGCGGCCACGCTCACTGACACCAGCCCACCTCTCCCAGCACCTATCACCCCACATGCGCCACGCTATCAACTTGCCAGATGCCCCCACACAGAAGGGCAGGGATCTGGTTCCTGGACTGGGTCTGACCCACAGTGGTGTATAAGGGAAGCGTGGGGGTGGATACTAGCACAAACTTCTAGAATGATGGGTCTCAAAACCCCTGCAGATGAGTTGCTCTGGACTGGGCAACTCCATGTGCAGGAACTTACCCCACAGAAACAGCTACTCACCACAGGGAAGCCCAGCAACCCAGCCAGAGGGACGGGTCCAACCGGATGCCAGGCGCCCCCAAGACAAAACCCAGTAACACCCGCCCCATCAGAAGATGGCTGAACAACATGGAAGGATGGCTACGGTCTACTGTTAATGTCTTAAAAGGCAGCTTTTAAGGTAGTATGATCTCATTTTTGTAAACTAAGAAATACACACAAATACACACGACATAAAAGACTCTGGAAAGACATATACCAAATGTTAAGGAGTGATCACCTACGGAGCGTGTGTGTTGGCCAGTTTTATGTGATGAGAATGTGCTACTTTGTGGAGAGGGGAGAGGTGGGAGGGGCAGCTCACTTCAGGCAGAAGAGCGAGGTCTCAGCGGTTCCAAACGTCAGGAGGCTACTGAAGAACTCTGGGATGGGGAGGCTCTTGGCAGGGGCAGGAAAACCCACGTGCACCTCTGGAAGCGCAGACCTGGACTCGCCCAGGTGGACGACCAGGGCAGCCAGGCCCAGCACGTGGGAGGCACTCAGGCTTGGGCCCTGAAACGGGAGACAGTGATTCTCCAGCAAGGAGGGCGGAGCCCACTTTCCAGACGGAGGAGGCAGCAGCCCTACCTGGTGACGGAGTAGTTGGCAGAGCCGGGTGAGCACAACAGGGAGGAGCCTGCGTCCACACATGGCTGTCACGAAGCGAGCAGCCCAGGGGCCCTGCCTGCAGACAGAGCCGCCGAGACCAGCAGTCCGGCCAGTCCTGGCCCTGCACGGCCCTCCCACGGGCTCTGCTGCATGAGCACTCACGCCCAGGAGGCCTCAGAAAGAACCGGGCTGTTCCCCCAACAGCGGGGTCTCCCGTGGTGATGCTTAACCTCTGCCGTGTCTGCACCTGATAAAAGTCAGCACGGCCCCTCCACCCCGCCTGGGACCCCCAACCGGTACATAAGGCAGAAGGCAGGACCCAGGACCCAGGATCAGAGCTGGACTAGGGATGGCAGCCTTGCTCCCCGTCCTCGTCAGGGAAGACAGGGAGGAACTCCCCTCCACCAGGGAGGCCTGCTCCGAGCACCCAGGCCACCCCACACATAGCTCCACACCACCCAGTGAGAATCACCAGCCCCTACCTGTCTGGTGGGGCAAAGCTGGAGGCTGCGATCAGGTTCTGACAGAAAGACGTCAACAGGAGGTCCGCGATCTGAGAGATAAATGGTCACTGAGGGCACAGAGTCCCGGAGAGCAAGGTGCATGAGCCGGACTGTTTACGCCTCTGAGGAAACAATCACGCTGACCGGCAGCCGAACCCCACTCCCAAATCCTGAAGGACGGCGGGCCAGCAGTCCCACAGTCCCACAGTCCCAGCCACGAACCTTCACAACAGGGAACAGGGTCAGCACACCTTGTCTATACAGCCCCAGAGAGTGAACAGTTTTAGGCTTTGGGGCCACAAAGAGCATCTGCTGCACGCTCTTTAGACATTTTAAAGAGTCTGTACACAAAGAGGCCGGGGCTGGCTGACCCTGGGCCTAGCATGCCCAGCTCCTGGATGTCTGGTTTCCTGGGGAGAACTGTGCACCGAGCACTGTCTGCAGTCCATCCCTGCTCGACAGCCTGCTGTAGGCATCCTGCACTCACCTCCTGTTCCTGGTGCTCCAGGTGTGGAGCCATGATGCTGAGCTGGGCCTGCGATACCTCCAAGCTGCCGTCCTCCTCGCCCAGGCCCAGGGCGGAGCTGAGCCGTTCAGAGACAACTGCCACGTGAGCGGAAAGAACTGCAAATGGAGAAACTCGGTGAGCTGCCCAGGAAAGCCGCTGACGCCCACCCCCGACCGCACCTGGGGGCCGGCTCTGCAGGAGAAGCAGCCCAGCCCCCATTCCGGGGGCCACACCTGCCACTAAAGGCCGGGGCCGCGCACACCCAGCAGCCACGCGGTGCAAACTGCTTTTCCCACACGGCAGGTGGCGCTGCTGAGACGGTGCGCGGGCACGAGGTGGGGCAGAGCGGGGACAGGGGCCGTCCACGGCCTTTCGACGGGTTCTCTGAGGGGTCCATGTGTTCCTTCCCCACCACAGACCTCATTTATGCACATTCTGCCCGAGGCTCCACGTCCCACCGTCAGCCGCGGCGCCAGAGGCCAGGGGACAAATGGGCCAACCGTGCCCGCTGGAAACGGCAATCTGCTGCTAGGGACGAGGCCGACCTGACGCGTCGGCAATCCTGCTGAAGCCCCGGGGTTCCGCCCCAGCCTCGCCGTCCCCAGACACCCAACTCGCAGGAGCGCAGCTCTGAGAGGCCACGGGCCCCGGGACCCTGTGCACCAGGAGCAGGGGCACTAAGGGCGTTATCAGCATCTCCTCTGGGAGGCTCTCACAGGGCGTCCTGTCCTGGTTTGAGTACAATGGCTTCATAATATATAAAAACCTATTACACTTCCTGGATAAAAATACGATTTACTTCAGACTCTGCATTTTTCCCAACAACAATCTCTTGAGTAGGAGAAGTTAGTGTTTCATTTTACGGACCGCCGTGCACTACTACGTGACGTGAACCGTCCACACTCCCCCTCCACAAATGAGCACCGCCGACGCGCTGGGTGACAGGGACCGGTCGTACAGAAGCAGAGGCCAAGGGCCTGCGTCTCCGCCTGTCAACCAGCACAGCCGAGGAACGCCGGCTCGCCCCTCTCCACCACCTGGCCTGCTGGGGTGTCAAACCGCAGAGTGTTCATCTCTGCTAAGGCTCTGGGACGGCCTGACGACGGGCCCGTCTCCCGTCCAGCACCCGCCGGCGCTGCGGTCAGGCTGACCTGAGCTCGGGCGCGGCTGGATGCCCACTCAGCCCACGGGCACCCGCTGCAGATCGCCCTGCCCACAGCCAGGCCCTCACCGTCATACTGAGAGGGGTCTGTCATGGCGGCTCTGAGCTCTCTCAGGGCAGCGGCGAGCGGTCCCAGCGGTTCTTCCGCACAGCCCCCGGCTTCCGCCTTCATCCCTGGGGCTGCACCTGGGAGAGGACAGGACACACACAACTGGACGTGGCTCCTCCGTGAGAAGGGCAGACAGAGGCCCCAGACGAGGTGCCACGCTGCTGGGCACTGATCATCGTATCAGAAACGTGTTTATAAATGTTTAAGGAAAAACATGGTTCTATGCACAACATGCCATAAAAGTGAAAAACACGTATGTAAAGAAAAAGAACCAGAAGCATGGTGAGGGGGTCTGGGTGGGGACACAGGATTGTGGATGGGTGACAATTTATTCCATTTCTCAAACTTGTAATTAACATTGTCATACTGTTCTTTTAACAGGATGTTAAAAAAAATAAGATGTAAAGAAAAAAGCTAAGAATTAGTATACAACAGATGATTACCAGTTCTCAAGATATATTTCATAGATTTACGAAAAAAGATTAGATCTGATCACAAATTTGTAAAAGAAAAATGTTTCTTGAGGCGCCTGGGGGGCTCAGCTGGTTAGGCATCCAACTTTTGATTTCGGCTCAGATCATGATCTCAGGGTCGTGAGATCAAGCCCCATGTTGGGTTCCACACTGGATGTGGAGCCTGCTTAAGATTCTTTCTCTCGGGGCACCTGGGTGGCT